ACTATAGAAATAAACTCAATTGAAATTGAATTGAAGTGAACTTGGGCAATAATGAGCAAAATTAAGGGTTATAGTCATTTTTATTTAAACGTAATATTTTTTCCACAGTGTTTCCAATCAATCTAATTTGGTAGTGTTTTCACCCAATCTATTCAATTAAATTCAGTTCAGTTTATTTCTATAGCGCCAATTCACAACACATGTCATCTCAAGGTACTTTACAGTTCACCAGATCATACAGTCAGATTGATTCAAATGTCAAATTGATTCAATCTATATCGGTAAAAGGGCAATCCAATACAAATTGGTCACTTTGGCCAAATTACTGGTTCAGTAACATAGCAACTTTCAAAAGCTAAAGCCAGATCTTGAGTGAGTAACCCTTGGATTGAATGCGAAGTCTTACAGCAAACAGCACTTTCAACATGAACCTGTCTTCAGAACGCAATAGTACTGAATACTAATAATGCAACTGGAACCAGTGTCTTGGTTAGTTTTAGTGTTGCGGCGATGCCATTTTTTGTCCCCGATACCCGATACCTGGATGTGCAGTATCGGCTGATACCGATACCATCTGTTTGAAATTGATGTGTGTGTATATATGAAGAACTGCATACTACCTGGATGTAAAATAATTGCCACCATGGCTTTATCAAGCTGCTGCCTACCTTTGTGAATCAGGAAAAAGACTAATATAAAGTGAATCCAGTAGAACTTTTTATTGCCTACGTGGAATGGGTGACAATAGTTGAATAAACTTTTGGCTCTCGTATCGGTGCCCGATCTTTTGGTACTCGCTGATACTGATACCACCATTGTAGTGCTGGATCGGGGCCCCATACTGGTATCGGTGCAACACTAGTTAGTTTCGGATCATTGTATTGTTTAATCTAACCAAAATTGTTTTGACCAACTAGATTGGTTGTTTTTACAGCCAATATTTTCTTAGAATCTGTCTAAACTCCATCCAACTGACCACAACTCTCATACAAACTCCTACATCTTGACTGAATACTGAGGCTGTCAAAGTTTGCAGGTGATCTGAACCACTTGCTGAAGCAGTCATGGTATGGCGCTAGTGACGCTTCTGACGTCATCGATTTCAGCCCCTCACCTCAATGAAGCAAGCCTCGATATGCGTTTTGCGGAAACGCTGCCTCCACTACTCAACATACACCTCGGCTCATCTCATAACATCATTACTGTTTACCTACCAGGTGTATATATAGGTTACACTTAGGGTAGAACTGTCTGAAATTTCTGATGAAGGTCATAGCCAGCAAAACGTTACATTAATACATCCTGGATGGAGAGCGAGACTGTGTGTGGGAAGTATTTCTGGAAATCTGTGGACGGAATAGTGTTGCAATGTTATTTAAAAGTTATTTTATATCATTTAAAGAAGCATTATGGGGTTTTCTAATGATGATGTCATCCGTGGCCAAAACACAGGACTGCACCCTTCTAGGTTGGACTCATTCAACATGGATGTGCTTAACGTCACATCGGCCGAACAGAGCGGTAAACTTCTGACATGAAGTATAAAAATATGTGAAATTCAAGGGATTTTTTTTTTGTAAAAGGTGAGTTCTGGCATCATGGAGTTGGTGAGATCAGGCCTGCAGACCTTAAAGACCTGACACTCATCGCTAAAGTATGCAGAAAGCCATAAGAGGCGTCTGGTTGTTGTGCTGGCAATAAAAGTTTAGGGTAAGGGTATGAGTAATAGTTTGCAAGCAATATTTTTCTGCAAAATGTAAAATAAAGCTATTTTTCTTTAAACCGATGCTCTTTTCACAAAGTTTTATTACCTTTTGAGAGACGCTTGTCCCGTTCCCTATCAGAAATAACCAACCTGGCTGAAAGAAAATAACTTCTAATCTAAATGCGCCCGAGGAATGAATAAGTTTGAGCTTTACTGGAAACAACTGTGGCTCCTTTTTTTCATCACATTAATCTTTTCTATATTTTCTTCTATTTTTTTTGGACTTGTGTTTCCATCATTGAGGACACATTAAACCGAGCCCTTCCCATCCCTCTGCCTCAATCTGCCTGGCATTATTCTTAATTATATGGTAAGCAGAGGGGTGGGGGAGGATAAAACAATGAATGTAATTACTCTTTAATCTTTTAATACAACACATTTTGTATGTCAATCAGATTAATGGCTGATGGAGCGCTTAAATGCTCACTTTACAGGCTGCACTTCCCTGCAGCTGGATGAACTTTTAAAAGCAGTGAAGGATGAGGAATAGGAGGGGGGGTGTATGGGACTCACGCATAGGCCTCAAAGTCTCCGTTGTTGACGGCTTCGATAAGCTGCTCCGTGATCTTTATGATCTCCTGTTTGCGAGCTGTGGAGAGGAAGGAAAGAAAGAGGGATGTGATTGCTTCCAAAGTGTCGTTCATTGTGCAGCTGCAGCTAAGCTGGAGGCTGAAGCAAGTTACAGATAGAGACGACCCGTCTGCGTGAGAACGGCGATCCTAATCCTGCGCCGATCTCCTCAATAAACTTTACACAGAGAAGACCCCACGGCTTACGTACCCCCCATTGTGTCCTGGCACCACGTTGCCTTCTACCTCCATTCATCATCCATCACACCTCTGCTGTACACACAGGGCAGCTGGAGATCATGGTGCTATTCTTGTCCCAGGATGAGATTTACCCTGTCCTTCTCCCGTGGCTTCCTCCCCACACTAACTGAAGGGCTTAACTCACTCAGGTTGTCTACTTTCCCCCTCCCTCCCTCCCTCCCTCCCTCTCTCACCCTCTCTCTCTCTCTCTGCTTACTGTACCCTTCTCTATCATGAAAGCACCTCTGTACTCCATCTACATGCTCTTCTGTCACTTAGCTGCATGTCACATAATGAAAAGTCGGGGCAACAGAGACATCAGAGCGTTCTCCGCTTTAATGTGCTTAAAGCAACATTTCAGTTTTAATTACAATAAAGTCCCATCTAACAAACTCCTGCTGCTGGGTCCTTTGTCTATTTGATACAGCAAAACATTTGGTAAGACTAAAATATAGCCCAGATGAAAGGATATTTCACTTAAGCTGCTTAGAGTATTAAATAAACAGAAACGATATATTTTCGGGAGAAAAAAAAAGAAAAAATAAATGCCAAAAAGAGGTACGAACAAAATAATAATCAAAGCATTTTTTTTTTCTGTGTATCAAAGTGACGACTGAGTTTCTGCTGATAAAAACAAATAAGATTTAAAAGGTTCCCACCAGAAAAAGCCATGATCCAAGGTGGTTTTTCTGCTAATCGTTTTACTTTTTCACTTTTCTCTCGATCCGCCTGCCAAAAACCAGCTCTTCCTGCTGCGCTCGTTCTAGGCGGACCCAGCTGCGCTCTCACCTGAACTTTATCACCTGATAACTGTGTCATTAGTGAATGATTATATGCAACATTGTCAAAACGAGAACACAGGTGTAATTCTTAATATAAAAGGACACTGGTTCAGCCTTAACAACCATAACTACTGTAACTGTTTTGGTAAGGCTTTCGAAAAGGTTTAGTTATTTATTTATGACCATTTTAGACCCATTATCTGTCTTTTTCAGTTAATTCTAATTCATTTGGAATCGTTTTTACAACCTTATATCACTTAAAATTCTGTCCTTTTAAATTGAATCTATATTAATTTTGATGTAAAAAAAGTGAGAATTCAACATTTATATTTTATACCAGCTACAGTAGACTTGCATTGTGTCGGACAGAATGCATCCTCAGTGATTCAACCATCCATCCATTTTTCATCACACTTATCCCAAGCGGTGTCGCAAGTGGTACTGGTGCCTCCAGCTGTCTAAGGGTGAGAGGCGGGGTCCACCCTGGACAGGTCACCAGTCCATTGCAGGGCAACACAGAGACAAACTACCATTCACACTCACCTAAGGAGAATTTAGAGATGCCAATTAACCTAACAGTCATGTTTTTGGACTGTGGGATGAAGCCAGAGTACCCGGAGAGAAGTCACACATGTTCAGGGAGAGCTGGCAAACTCAATGCAGAAAGACCTGTGCCAGGAATCGAACCAATAACCTTCTTCCTGAGCAGCCCCATTACCAGTTTAATTTAAGGATAATTTCATGTTTTCAACCTTTGAAAGGAAACAAAGACACTTGTGAAAAGACGTAGGGGTAAAAACTGTTCAGGTCGCCAGTCCATCAAAGGGTAACACAGAGAAAAACAACTATTCACACTCACACCTAAAGAGAATTTCATAATTAACCTAACAGTCTTGTTTTTGGACTGTGGTAGGAAGCTGATGTACCAGGAGAGAACATGCAAACTCTTTGTTACCCCAAATGCCTTATCTGTCACGTAAATGTTTCCTATTTCGGTGTACCCTATTGTCAAGTAAGCTTACATTGAACTGGAAGCAACAATTGCCAGCTACGAGTTTTATAATAAAACTGGTAAAACATCTGCCTTACAATCCAAGGCTCAACTAAAATAAAACATGTCTCCATCCATCTATCTTCTCCCGCTTATCCCATCAGGCCGGTGTCTATCTCTGTGAGGGTCATCCCTGGACAGGTCGCCAGTCTGTCACAGGGCAACACAGAGACACTCCCCTAAGGGCAATTCAGAGAAGCCAATTAACCTGACAGTCATGCTTTTGGACTGTGGGAGCCAATCATTGCTGCCATCTGTTAGAAATGATGATGGCAGAGCCAAGCACAGAGAGAGAAAAAACTACTGCAGGAATCCTTCATGCAAAACCTCTTTTCCATATTTATGTTTTTATTATGAGACCAGAGCAAAAACATTTGAGAAGTTTTATTTCTCACTTTGGGACAGTGTTAGAGATAGTTTCCTACAAGCCAAAAGAAATCAACCACTTGGTAGCAGCAGTGTTGCTAAGCAACATACAGTGAACTATTAAATATTTGATAATACTTTTACTACTTTTAAGTACTAGTTTAACGACCTAACTTAGGAGTTAACCCTGGTGACAGCTCGACCACACACCAACCATTTTCATCAATCATTTTCTGCTAAAACCAACATATTCGTTTTTTTTAACCGGTCACATGATCTCATAAAAACTTCACAAACATTCTTAAAGTCGTAGGGAAATCCTATTTAAATGTCAAA